ACTTTTATATTATGATCATTATCGCCATTACTATCATCATTAGGGACATTATGATACTTGCATGTCTGCACTGAGCGTTCCTAAATTCGAAACATGTTTTGCATAAAAGAAATTATTTAAAAAAAAAGCCTTTGATCTGAAACTATATACTCAAATAAAATGCATAATGGCCCTAATTTGACGACTATTAATATCTAGGCCTTGTGTCTTGTGTTAACCATCACTGTCTCCTCACATTATCTTCCTGTCTTCTTCTTCTTTGTTTTGTTTTTGTTTTTTTCGTCATTCTCATTTTTTTGCTTTCTTTCTCCTTTTTTTTCAATTCTTCTTTTCGTCGTCCTCTGTTCTTCGGTCCTCTTCCTCTTCTTATCCTCACCCCCCTTCTTTTATTTTCTTATCCTCTACTTTTCTTCCTTTTTTTTCTTCTCTTCCACTCCTTTTTCTTCTCTTCCTCCCCCTCTTTCTTTTCTGTCCATTCTCCTTCTTTTTCTCCTCTTCTTCTTCTTATCCTCTTCCTCCCATCTTCCTCCTTTTTCTTCTTTTCCTTCCCATCTTCCTCCTTTTTCTTCTCTTCCTCCCCATCATCCTCTTCCTCCCATCCTCCTTCTTTTCCTCCCCATCTTCCTCTTCCTCCCATCCTCCTTTTTCTTCTCTTCCTCCCCATCATCCTCTTCCTCCCATCCTCCTTCTTTTCCTCCCCATCTTCCTCTTCCTCCCATCCTCCTTTTTCTTCTCTTCCTCCCCATCATCCTCTTCCTCCCATCCTCCTTCTTTTCCTCCCCATCTTCCTCTTCTTCCCATCCTCCTTTTTCTTCTTTTCCTCCCCATCTTCCTCTTCCTCCCATCCTCCTTTTTCTTCTCTTCCTCCCCATCATCCTCTTCCTCCCATCCTCCTTCTTTTCCTCCCCATCTTCCTCTTCTTCCCATCCTCCTTTTTCTTCTTTTCCTCCCCATCTTCCTCTTCCTCCCATCCTCCTTCTTTTCCTCCCCATCTTCCTCTTCCTCCCATCCTCCTTCTTTTCCTCCCCATCTTCCTCTTCCTCCTTCCTCCTTTTTCTTCTCTTCCTCCCCATCATCCTCTTCCTCCCATCCTCCTTTTCTTCTTCTACTCCACTTCCATGCTCACCCTCGACGGTCACTTCGAGTCACACATGCAAGAAAATCCAAATCGCTCATTCACACCTAAGGGTAATTTGAAGCCCTGGGGTAAGATATTACATGAAAAGGGATAAATCTTTAATAATATGGCGGGCTGGTGCGTCCGTTTTACTCTGATGAAGCTTAGGTTAAACTTAGTTGCACTTTGGTTTGAGTAAACTGCTGGACTCCGTGAGTTAACAAGAGTTTCTGTTGATATTGCTTTGATGATTTTGTTTTGATTCATATTCTAAGAAAAGAAAAGGAAAATATGGACCGTAGGTATATTTCCTTTCATCAAAATAACTTTAAGCAGAATCTTCTGTTTTTTTTTTTTAATAAAGATTTTTGATTGTTTTAACGTGCCTTTATGCTATTTTTTTCTTATTATATGAGTAAGGAAAGTTGATGAGGATGTATATCCACCTTGAAAGGCTAAATAGCATCGGAAGTGCTAAGAACCACTGCTCCAGATCAACAGAAGCTAAATACTGAAGAACTGACGGCGCATACTCTTCAGCCGAACTCTACCTATAGGCCTACCACCAAACCTGCCGAGGCTCTCAATTATAAGTGGCCGGAACAGCTCTGCCGGTAGTGCATGTCCTACTATATGATGCTGTACGAGATCCAAGGTTGTAGTCAGTGTCTAAGATAGATTTCAGTTATGTTGTATTGTTCTCCTTAGTCCTCGAGATTTCGTGTAGAAGCAAGTAGATGAGAGAATATTCCCTTTAAAATGTAGTTTTTTTTCTCGAATGCATTGTATTAACTCTTGGTTTAAAAAAAATTGATTTGGAAAGCATGTCAGTGATTAACAACTGCTTTAAGAACTGCTTGTAGAGTCCTACATTATCACATAAGAGATTTACAAGAATTACGTTGTAATCAACCATTTTTTACATGTGTAGAAAATTCAGTCGACGTATCTATTCCTTATTGAAGAAGAAGAAAAAAAGAGAAATACATATGTGCATATATATATGTAATATGTATGTGCGTGTGTGTTTTTATAATAACAATAATAATAGTAGTAATGAATTTCTTGTGTGGGAATGAGACGCATAAGTGGTTTCGTGTAAGGCAAATGTTTATGGATCTTCCTTTTTTAAAGTGTCTACACTTACACTTACCTCTGTAATGTCTAATCTGTTATACCGAAGCGAATGCTGTGCAATATCATCACTTTTAGAGAACAGGCTTGAAGTGGCTTTGATGTAATTTTACCGACAAATGCCGAAAATATAAACAGAATATGTGCCAAATTAGAAAGTCTTAAGAAAATTAAGAACCGTTAGAAAATAAACATTTTGGGGGAGGGGAGGCAAACGAAAGAAGATTTAGAAAGCTTCACATACAGAGGACATCGAAGGCAAGAAAAATAGAAGCAGGCAACGTTTGCCCTACTAGAAAAGTGCAACTCGATACCAGGACGAGTACGCCCATGCCCTGGAGAAGTAACCTTAACAATTCCCCGAACCCCAACTTGGTATTCCTAACGCTGCAGTCTTTCAACAGGACAGGAGCACAAAGTTATTATACGACAGCAATTCCGGATTATCTCAACAATCTCATTTATGTTTTTCTCGGCCACTTTATTGGCCAAGAGAGAACTTTCACACTGGCAGCACATTCACAAGATCCTCGAATGAATTTTACCAAGATGATGATGATGAAGATGGAGGAGGAGATAAAGATGGAGATGAAGATGTTGTCGCCTTGTAGACCAAAGAAACTTTACCTGAGTTTTGTTAAGTCTTAAGTAGACAACGGAAGGAATAGACACATGGCTGACCTTCGAAAAAGCATTCCTGGGGCATTTCGTACGATAACCTAAAGATTGAAAACATACATTTCGCGTAGGATTTGCTTTGCTATATTGGCGGTCAACGAAACAAGTCCATGAATGTGGTTTAAATACATACTGATTATAGTTCCATATTATGCAGGAGTTTTTATTTTTTTCTACTAACTCGCACATTGACATTAGGACCACCCTACATCATTTTTTTAGTATGTCATTATTTAGCAGACATCAATTAGCTATTCTTAAATATTTATACACACAAAATACGTTAAAACGAAATTCCTTACAGATTCCCCATTTAGTTACAAAAAAACAAAACAAAAAAACTTCTACCCTTTTTGTTTAGTGAAGAGAGTTAAAACACTAAGAATTTAATTTGTTCTTAAGCGCATTAAAAATATTCTAGAGCAGTGTCAGTGATGTGATTATAAAGATCAAGTATAAAGGAGTGACTTCGGGAAATGTATGGCGTGTAAACCAAGGAGGAGGAGGAGGAGGAGGAGGAGGAAGAAGAGGAGGGGGGGAGGAGGAGGAGGAAGAGGAATAGGGAGGAGGAGAGAGGAGGAAGAGGAAGAAGAGGAGGGGGGAGGAGGAGGAGGAAGAGGGAGGAGGAGGAGGAGGGAGGGGAAGAGGAAGAAGAGGAGGAGGAAGAGGAAGAAGAGGAGGGAGGAGAAAGATGAAGAAGAGGACGAGGGAGGAGGAAGAGGAAGACGAGGAGGAGGAGAAGAAGAAGGAGAAGGAGAAGGATTAGTTGAGGCGAGGGCTGAGGACCAAGGCAGGGGCGATCCCTACATCGGGCCTCAATCTCCGTCTCCTTGTTGATAATGTTTATATCATCAATATTATTACTGTAATACTAACATTACTATTTTCGTCATTACAGTTATTGTTCCTGATTATCATTATCTTTATTAGCAGTATAATTGTTATCATTAATACCATTAGGAGTACCATTGTTACTACTCCTACTATAAATATGACATCTTTTTTTAATTGTAAATGTCATTGACATTATAATTATCATGTCAATAATCATCAGAATTTTTATTTATTATTAATATCACCATTGTTATTCCAATTGCTACTGTAACTGACGCTGTTACTACTACTATTACTATTACTACTTCTACTGCTACTGTTGCTGCTTCTACATCTACATATACAATTATCACTGATGTACAGCTACTACTACTGCTGCTGCTTCTGTTACTACTACTACGACTGCTATTGATCTTGCTTCTGCTACCTCTACTGCTATTACTGCCACTACTAGTACTACAAGTAAAGGTACTACTACTCCTGCTGTTGCTTCTGTTACTACTACTACCTCTACTGCTACTGCTGCTACGACTACTACTACTGCTGCTGCTACTACTGCCGCTACTACTACCACGACTCCTACTGCTAATGATAAATGTACTCCTACTGCCGCTAATACAACTACCGCCACGGCTATTACTATCTTTATAATCGTGATTATAAAGTTTCTCTTTACAATAATAACAATACAAATCGTTGTCTTGGGTGTTATTCGTATGTTTGTTATAACCATGGCTACAATGAGTCATTTTTACCATTCTGTCGCTTTCATCACGATTTATTACCGCCATTATCGTCAAAGTTTTTTTTTTCTATTTTTCTATTTTCTTTATCAATGCCATTCTTATCACTTTTCCCTTTTAGTCATATTTTTCCCTTGCCATGTTGGCTGTGCGTGGAAATGACGTAAATAAATGAATAATAAAAAGAGGACTTACACAAGAATAAATAAATGCAATGTCTTTATTGCACTCAAGTGAAAAAACAAGCCCACTCAATCACGTTTGGCATGGATGTCATTTCAGTCATGCAATGATTTAACCACACTGTTAACCGCCAAAGCACGTGCAAGATTACGTTTTCGTCATGATCTACGTCATTATCCTTACGACCCTGCATTATTAGCGGGCATGATAATGATGGCACCACGACAAAGGGCGCGTATAATAAAGCCGTGAAATGGTAACCGGCATCTCTCCCGCTCCCCTGGCAGGCCCTCCACTCCGCAGACCAAGGCAGGTTCTCCCAGACCAGCCTCTGCCACCGTTCAAGACACATACTTCGCTCTCCTTCGAGTCCCTGCGCTATTATGTCCCAGTCGCTCGCCAACATGATCGTTGACAACAACACTCATTTCTTTGAAGGCGTGGAGAAATTACTGGAAGTGTGGTTCACGCGGAAGGATGGAATGACTTCGAATTGTGATCTGAGGAAAGTGCCAAGGTAGGAGAGCCTGTGGGAGAGGGAGAAGGAGCGAGTTTGTGTGGCCTGTGTCGGCGAATTCCCTTCCGACCGAGGAGCGACGTGTATTGAGCCGCAACGTTGCCGCGTCTCCCCCGGTTCGGTGACGTACAGGTGGTTCTGTGTTGTCAGCTGTGAGAACCGCTGTTGGAAAAAAGAGAAGGTGTATTCCGTTCGTGGTGGTGCCGAACGTGCTGTCCTTGGGAAATGAGATTTCTTTTTTTTTTAGAGGGAGAGCCGCGATTTGCAGAAGTGGCCACGTGATCGGGCTCGATATGAAGTTCAAATGCCGGTCAGGAATTAGGGGAAAAAATCGCTGTTCTGTTTCGCGCTGTCTGGCGTGCCGCATTCCGTGTCAGCTTTGGAAAATGATAGAAATAGAAAATCTAGATCCTCGAAGAACCGTGAAAATCCATAGAGGAATAATCATAAAAAATGTTGCCATTGAAATATCCAGTACATTTCCATGAGATAATTTCGTCCAGACAATTAATTCCTTTCATATGCTTAACTAGAGATAAGAAAATGATACCGCCGGTCGATAACCCTACGCTCGAAAGGGGCATTAACATGTGATAAGAAATCATTCAATGAAATGTTCAGGTATTTGTCCCTTGGCAACGAGCCAGGCTCAACCCGGACCTAAAGGGCGATGATATAACATGAGATTATCGTACAAAGTCCCTCACCTTATGTCATCACGTTTAAGTTATCTTGGACATGATGCGGGCTGTGTACGATGCCACTGAGGCAAGTATGTCGCCGATGAAGCAAATGTGTCACCAGGCAAAGGAGAGAAAAGGTTTTGTTGTTGGTTAAGCGTTAAATTTCTAGTTTAGTGAGAGCTTCTCCACAGCGCCATGTTACGCCGCCCCTGCACGTGCGCGCGCGGGTTGACGCTCGAGATTGCACTGAGTCAAGGTCGCGGTAGACATGGGAGTAGATAGAGGCTAAAATTAGAAAGATATTGACAAAGAACATGTACGCTGCTATGTATGTAGAAACCTTATTCACACACACACTATGCATGCGGATATATGTATATATATGTACACACACACACACACACACACACACACACACACACACACACACACACACACACACACACACACACACACACACACACACACACACACACACACACACATTTGTATATTTATTCATTTATTAATTTATACACATTCACATTTGCGTGCACCCTATTTCAATTCGTTGCACGCAACGGCTATCAGAAGCGTGTGCCTGCAGTCACGATCGTATCAGCTACCTGCCAGCCAAGAATGCGATAGCAAATGTGGCAGTGACATAGGTCAATCATCTACAAATATATACACATTATAAACAGGTGCTAACATTAGATAAAAGAACAACTAAGTAGAAATAAAAACGAGTTTTAGGTAAACAAAATTTCGCCACACGCTCACAATCATGAGGCATAACGGAAGCACGTCATTTATGCTAAATGCGTAGTATGTTTTGATGTTTTGCACGCACTTACGTTGCAGACTGGTATTTGCGAAGACTGCATTGGCGTTGTTTATTCTTTGTAGTCTGTCAGTCTGTCAGTCTGTCAGTCTGTCAGTCTGTCAGTCTGTCAGTCTGTCAGTCTGTCAGTCTGTCAGTCTGTCAGTCTGTCAGTCTGTCAGTCTGTCAGTCTGTCAGTCTGTCAGTCTGTCAGTCTGTCAGTCTGTCAGTCTGTCAGTCTGTCAGTCTGTCAGTCTGTCAGTCTGTC